TTCCAGCCTTTTGCTATTATAAACAGTACTACAGTGAATACCCCTAGGCATGTATCGTTTAGTATTTTTGCAGTGTATCTCTTTGAAGTAGATTCTTAGGAGAGGGATTGCTCGGTCAAAGGAAGGTACATATGTCATTTTTCAGCCTCTGCCAAATTCTTCTCCATACATTTGGCATTCACTCCAGCAGTGTATTAGGGACTGTTTTCCCAAAGCCTTTCAATGGGATGTGTCATTTTGGATTTTTGCCAATCTCATAGGTGAGAAACGGGATCTCAGTATCATTTTAGTTTTCTTTTCTATCATTATGATAGACAACAATCTTCTCTTTGCTGGTGGCAGTGGTACAGGAGGATCAAGGTCTGGGGGAACCAACTGCAGGGATGTCAATGGTGATGTCCAGGAGCATCTGGCAGACCAGGGCCCTTACTGTAGCAATGTGGTTTCCTGGAGTTCTAGGCTGCGTAGGTCTGCAATTGGTGCTGTGGCCCTTCTGGCAATTTTGGGTGCTACCTAGTGTCTTTTTTTTTTTTTTTTCCTTTTTTGTCTTTTTTACTGACTGGTAACAGGATCGCAACCCTCGGTGTCACGCCTGCACCACGCTCAGCCAGTGAGTGGGAACCGGTCTCCACATGGGATCCGAACCTTCGGCGGGAGCACCGCCGTGCTCCCAAGCAGTGCACTCTCCAGTGCGCCACCGGGCCGGCCCTACCTAGTGTCTTTTTAATATAGTCTTGTTCATCTTAATCACCAGGCTGGTTTTTGTGGCTTGCATCTAAGGACCCTGGTGTGACTGTGCCAAGAAAGAGTTGGCAGGGTCATTCAGGGCAGATTCTGAGTCCATTTGCCTCCTCGGTGATAACGGCATAGGTAATTAAGAGGGGAAATTGGAACGTGAGTGAAGATAGCCCTAGGAAGGCACAGTGACCCCACTGGGACCCAGTTATGGGCCACATGACTTACAGAAATTTGACAGATCATATTAGTGACTCATTCTCTCTGGTAGTGGGGATACCAGGAGAGGAAAGCAAAATCAGGACGGTGTGGAAAGAGAGGGCTACAGGTCTCTCTTCTACATAAACCACACAAGCCCATGGAAACCTAATTTCAGCCAAAAGCAAAAGCAAAGGGCATGCTGTCAACTCAAGGAAAACTGGTTATCTCAAGCAGTTTTGTTTATAGAAGCATATGACCTAGAAGAGTCTGTATTAGACATTCATTTATTCATGCATCCATTCATTCCCTCAGATAGTATTTACTGAACACTTATCATGTACCAGCTACCGTGTTAGGTGCTGAGGATACAAAGTTGAACAAGATACAATCCCTGACTTGAGGCTATTATAGGAAAACAGATAATAGGTAGTTAAAATAGGGTATCATATATGCAATGGTAGGGATAAGCCAAGTGAAGTTATGGGAAAGCAGAAAAATAATCGTTCGTATTTTGGGAGAACTAACTGTGTCAGTCACTTTGCATGTGTTCATTCATTTTTTTAAAAATAATACTAAGAGGTAGGTACAATTTTTAATCCCAGTTTGACAAGTGAGGAAACTGAGACACAGAACACTTAAGCAGTTTGCTGAAGTGCACAGAGCCGAGCAATGGCACAGCCAGAACTTAGTTCTCTGTTTTAAGTGGAAATGAATTATTGCTACCTTTTCTCAATAATAGTTTAATAATAGTTATCCCCCAAGCCCTCAAGAGACCACATTTATAAAATGGTCCTTGCCTGATAATCACTCAGCCCTCTCTGCTGTGGCCTGTTGGTGTGGGTCTCCAGCTGGTCAGAGCCAACCAGAGGCCTGACACCTTACCGAGTACACCTATTGTTAGGCATTAGAGTTGTTTCCAGTGACATACTTTGGTTATAGAAGTATACGACATAGTAGAGTATTTAATGGCACAGGAAGATATTCACCATCTATTATTAAATTAAAAAGTGAGTTA